AAAGACAAATGGTGGTTGGCGCTCTAACACAGTGGCAGAATATAGAAAATTGCAAAGAAAATAAGAAAAAAGTGTCATGTAACATTTTGGGTAACATTTCTGGCAATGATGGGTCTTCAACAAGTTCAAGCACTCAGGAAATAAATTTACTTTCTAAAAATTCAACTCACCTGTCATCGTCTGGAACTAATTTAACCAATTGTACTGATATTATAATTAATGTTTACAATAAATAAACGTATTTAGGTATCTTTTTTTGCTTTAGTTAGACAATAGTTAGACAGAAACATTGTTGTCCTTGTCTAGGCGGGCATACTTGTCGTCAGGAGATGACAGGAATGACACTAATGACTGTTTACAATTTTCCTATTTCACTGTCACCCCCCTGATAATAACATCCAAATGACAATGTTAAATGTGTCATAATGACATTGTCGTAGATTAAAGAAATAATACTGCTAGAGGGATAATAAATATTAATAATTATTATTATAATTCTTCAAACTATTACAGTATAAAATCGATACAGTTATTTATTTCCACTATATCGATTTTTTAATGGAGTTCCTCGATTAATTATTTTATAATTCGGGGTCTCTAGGCACTTTGTGCCCATGATTTATATCCGTAATTTGAGGCACAACGTCGCGTATCTCCGTCTGGCTAATGTATGGATATTTCTATCGGTAATTATGGCTGGAAATCGTGAAATTACGATCGTGGAAATACGACAGAAAGACGTAAGTCGGCAATTAGCTTGAATATGGGCTTTAGGAAAATCGTTAGTTTCCGTTTAGTGTGAAGCAAATGACGAAAATGATGATCATCTCGAATTTTGATAATGGGCGTTGTAAAACACATGCGTGTTTTTGAATTTTAAACCTCATTAACACATAAAGATTAAAAGATTTGAAGAGATATTTTAAAAAAAATGTCACTTTGTCATTGTGGCTTTTAACTTCATTTTTTTAAATGCGGACCTATTTTATGCGGATAGAATTTTGAACACCCTGTATGATATAAGATTACCATATTTTTGCCATTAATCAACATAAAATTATGAAAGTTATGGCGGTTCAAGAGTAACCAAGTAGTTATTAAATAATTAATTGAAAAAGCAAAATTTCATGATTTTTAAAACATCTTATTGCTTTAAAAACGAAATAATCTTTTTTGGTTTTAAAAAAATGTGGTTTTCTCAGTGCCGATTAATACTGAAGAGTAACTACGGCAACGCATTATTGACTGTTCCAATCAAATTTGGACAGCAACAATGATATTCCACAGGGTACGCAGATCGTGGAGAAGAAGATCAGATGTCTAGATTGAAATGAATGGTGGTCACTTTGAACATTTACTATGAATGAATTAAGGAATGCATTATTTTAATAAGGAATTTTGGTAATTGGATTATTTCGTTTTTTAAAGCAATAAGATATTTTAAAAATCATGATTTTCCAATTAATTATTTAATAACTACTTGGTTACTTTTGAACCGCCATAACTTTCATAAGTTTATGTTGATTAACCAGTTAGCAACCCATCAGAGCAAACTCTTTGTCTTCAATTTTCTCGAAAACCATCGTTCTGGGCCATGTGCAACAATGAGAGAGAGTACCTTTCTTGTAGGAAAAAGTATGTAGTTTTCAAAAAATAAACCCACGTTACAAAAAAAATAACCTCAAAAAAGTTATTCACGAAAAAAACCCCTACCCTTGCAAAAACTACCCTTTCCGCTTTTCCAAATAATTTTTCAATATCACCATTTGATTTAGGGTCAAAATTTATGCCAGAGGATTTTTTTTCGAAATTTTATCTCGTTCTCTAAGCCTACAATTTTAAAACAACCGTTTTTTAAATTCACCCTTTCAGTGCCCGTAACTCCCTTAATATGCATTTTCGCCCTATACTTATAGGAACTTTTTTTACTATTTTTAGGAGTACTATCACCCCCCGATTTTTTTACACTATTTCAATGACACCCTGTATAAGTCATTTGAGAAAATTAGCTAAACATAAGATAACACACTAGTACCATAAATAACTATTTATTTAATTATTAATATCTCTGAAACTATTGAAATTTATTTAGAATTATGTAAAGTTATCTGAAAGTAGTCATGGCCGGAACAGCGATTTTTTAATAACAGGTACAAGTTGTTCCAGTTCCAAAAGATACCTGTTCCAAGAAACCTGTTCCAGTTCCAAACTGTTCCAACACGAAAATTAATACCGTACTTGCGTCATTCTGATTCGGTTGCTATTTTTCTTTTTAAATTTATATACCTAAAAGAATATTTTTTGCTGAAATAATGAGAACTACTGGGGATTTTTCTGTTTTCTCTAAATTTAATCTACTGTCTATGTTGCTATATTACCAAGACATAATGTTTTTTAACTAAACATTAAAAAAAAGACTATCAAATTTTCGAAAAATATAAACTTTTCGAAAACATGTTTTCCCGAAAAAAACTCATGTGAATCGAAATATATACAACCCCTAAAAATATGTGCACTTATTTAAGACCCACCCTGTATAAGCACTAATGAATAAATATAGATTTATAATTTTGTGATATACTTAAAAAGTAAATTCTTAAAAGAGTTTATTTTTTTTAATATCTACTATATTTATAATACAAAACAATAATAACCGACTGTTCTTACACTGTATTTTTCAAAAAAAAACTATAATGCGATAATTATATTGCATTTGGCAACATCGCCAGCATTTTTTTATACTAAAAAATGTTCCTTACCTATTCTGTTTCTGTTGACATTAAAAAATAAAATATTTAAAAAAAAATATTATAAATTTAAAATTTATAATAAGAATTTAGTTGAGTTTTAATTAAATATTTTAAATAACGGCAACAGCCGCACTTGTTTTTTACGCCCCTGTATCCCGACAATAACAGATAACACCTGAACGGTTGCGTCCGCTAGACTTGGCTAGACTAGCGAAACCGATATACGACCTCGATTATCAACTCAAACCAGTTCTTTTTACTTAACTGTTTCAAACAGTTCCAAGTTCCTAACTGTTCCAAGCCCTAAACTGTTCCAGGTCGCAAACTGTTCCAAGTCTCAAACTGTTCCAAGTCCCACTGTTCAGGTTGGGACTTGAAACAGTTTAGGGCTTGGAACAGTTTAGCACTTGGAACAGTTAGGGACTTGGAACTGTTTGGGTCTTGGAACAGTTTGGAACCTGGAACAGTGAAGTAAAAAGAACTAGTTTCAGTTGAGAAACGAGGTAGTATATCGCTTTAGCGACGCGGTCGCTTGGCGTTATATTATCGAGATTGAGTGCGAGTGCACTAATATAGTGCATAGACGTAAAAAAACAAGGGTGACGGTTTTCGCAGCGTGCCCGATATTTGATATATTTAATTAAAATTCAACTAAATTTTTATTATAAATTTTAAATAGGAAATCAATATTTAAAAGTACAGAAAGAAAAGTATATCTAACATTTACTATTATGTAAAATAGTAAAATACATATAAAATAAAAACAACTTACATTCCTAGATAATAAAAACAAGCGGTTCCTTTGTCGGTATGTATACATTTTTTACGCAGAGTTGTTTTAATGTAAACAGAATAGGCGAAGATAATTTCTTACCATCAAAAAAACGTACTGGCGATGTTGCCAAATGCAATATAATATATAATTATCTAATTTTGAAAAATACACTATTAAGAATCTAGTATCACAAATGTAGTAGATAACAAACATAATTTAAACAATTCCAAGAATTTATTTCTTTAAGTATTTAATTTAAGTTGCAGTGTTTTGAAACAGCTGGAACAGTTGGAACTGGAACTGATATAGGATAGCACATAAACCTGTTCCAAGCCAGTTCCAAAACAAACCTGTTTCGAAAATCCTGTTCCAAAGCGTCATCACTATCTGAAAGGAAGCCAAAAATGCAATAATATACAGGATGTTCCATTTTAAAAAAAATTTCCCGTTCCACTCACGCTTTTTTGAGCCACCCTATAGAAATTAAAATATCTTCCTGAAATACATCCTAGAACATACTTTAGGTTTACACTTTAACAAAATTCCCAAGTTTTTTTTATTCTAGGAGCTACAGATATTTATTTAATCACAATCACAACCTAGTAAAAATAATGTCATTATAACCTTCATTACCTATATTTTTCCAATAAAACATAATTAAGTACTTAAATTATAATACTCTTTCAATAATAAATTTAATGAAGGATCAACGCACTTATATGAAAGTTTTAATAGCACATATTTTATCTTGTATTAGGCATTATTCTTCACAAAGACATAATTAAACTTTTACTACTTTAATTTAAAACGATAATTAATTGGTTTGATTAAGTCGTAACATGTTTTATAACGGCTTTTCCGTTGTACAAAAGGCTTATCGATCCATTAAGGAACTTAATGCAAATGCTCTTTTTAATGCTTTTCAATAATTAATCAAACACTTTTATGCATTAACTGAATCGCCAAGTAATAAATTAATACTTTTTTCCATAGAAGCTGTTAAAATTGCCTTATATCTATCAAAAATAGTAGATAAAATAGTACTTTAACTGCAAGTGTAGATTAAAATGATACTTTACAATGAGAAATAGATTAAAAACTTTATTTCTTCTCGCACGTTTTTAATTGTTTTCTGTTTTTGAAAAATTTTCTATTCCTTTTCATAAGTTATTCGGGATTTAAATGAAAGTAGTTTGAATATGGCGTTTGTCGCCTCAGCCTGAATATCTGTTGGTAATTTACTTATTTCGTTTTGAGCCATTTCTGGCTCCAATTCAATCAGCAATCGACACCAAAGAGAATTAAAAAATATTGACTCAAAACTGACAAGTAAAGAGACAGCTTTATTTATTTGTGAAATTACATAGAAACCAACGCAAACCCAGCACAATATTTTTTCTACTCGTAATAAATTCCTTCCATCTCAAGTACAAAATAAAATGGTGGGATAATTATGACAATATTATATTTTTCAGGGTGTTAGCAGAGCGAGTTCCGGTAGGTACGCCTGCGAAGCCACTAACAAAGAAGGCACTTCAGTCAGTCCAGCCTTCCATCTGAGGGTCAAGTTTGAACCAGTTTGCAAGGATGGACTTGCCAGAAAAATTATTGGAGCTGCCAAAGATGAACCTATAGATGTTGAATGCAAGGTAAGGTTTTGCTCTATATGAAGCGAAAAGTTTAATATACAGAAAAATTCTTTAATGAGGAATTGAATTTTCACTAGTAATACCATTAGAGATCAAATCATTTCCGGAAATTTTTTCGAGCTCATGAATATTTTGAAAATTATCCCGAGTCGAAGACGAGGAATTTCGACAGGAAATTGTAGAGAGAAACAAGCCCTATAACATAGGATACAACATTTTAATGAACAGTGCTTTCCATAAAATTAATAAAATGAAAAATATACGAAATAATATACATGTACTGATTTCTTTCGAAAATCGACAACTATGAAACTATGCGAACCCTTCCCGGACACAAACCGTACATTGTGAGACAGGAAATTATAGAGAGAAACAAGCGCATATTCACATAGGATACAACATTTTAATGAACAGTGCTTTCCATAAATTCAATAAAATGAAAAATATACGAAATAATATACATGATTTTTTTCGAAAATCGACAATTATGAAACTATGATCCCTTCCCCGGCACAAACGGTACATTGTGAGACAGAAAATTGTAGAGAGAAACAAGCACTATAACATAGAATACAACATTTTAATGAACAGTGCTTTCCATAAAATTAATAAAATGAAAAATATACGAAATAATATACATGTACTGATTTCTTTCGAAAATCGACAACTATGAAACTATGCGAACCCTTCCCGGACACAAACCGTACATTGTGAGACAGGAAATTATAGAGAGAAACAAGCGCATATTCACATAGGATACAACATTTTAATGAACAGTGCTTTCCATAAATTCAATAAAATGAAAAATATACGAAATAATATACATGATTTTTTTCGAAAATCGACAATTATGAAACTATGATCCCTTCCCCGACACAAACGGTACATTGTGAGACAGAAAATTGTAGAGAGAAACAAGCGCTATAACATAGAATACAACATTTTAATGAACAGTGCTTTCCATAAAATCAATAAAATGAAAAATATACGAAATAATATACATGTACTGATTTCTTTCGAAAATCGACAACTATGAAACTATGATCCCTACCCCGACACAAACGGTACATTGGGAAACAGGAAATTGTAGAGAAAAACAAGCCCTATAACATAGGATACAACATTTTAATGAACAGTGCTTTCCATAAAATAAATAAAATGAAAAATATACGAAATAATATACACGTACTGATTTCTTTCGAAAATCAACAACTATGAAACTATGATCCTTTCCCGGACACAAACGGTACGTTGTGAGACAGGAAATTGTAGAGAGAAACAAGTCCTATAACATAGGATACAACATTTTACTGAACAGTGCTTTCCATAAAATCAATAAAATGATAAATATACGAAATAATATACATGTACTGATTTCTTTCGAAAATCGACAACTATGAAACTATGAACCCTTCCCGGACACTTTTGTGCTCTATTTAACTGTGCAAAGGGAAATATAGCCTCCTATTTAAAATTTTTACGCAAAAGCGCAATATCTGTTATGATGTCAAACAGCACCCTCTAGCTACCACGAAAAAAATTGTGGAAACAAAATTTATACTAGAGATCATTAAGGAAGAAAAGCTCTTTTAATTTTAATACATGTACTGATTTCTTTCGAAAATCGACAACTATGAAACTATGATCCCTTCTCGGACACAAACAATCTTAGATCGTTAAGATATTCTCCATCTATTTTTAATCCTTTATTTGTCCAGTCCAACTGACGGAAGATTTCTTTAGTGTTGCTGAAAATAGTTTTGGGAATACCGCGTCTCATTGTCGTATTCAAAAATCAGCAGTTCATATCTCTCCCAAAATAGCTACATTACAAAAGCAATTTCAAAATGCCAAGAAGAACACATCCCCTAAATAACACCGTTAAAAATAAACTCTGGTAAAAAAGAATTTCATCATAATTAATTCTTAAATAATTGTATGTCAGATTCTTTAATACAACACGTTTCATAGAACAAGCCTTTTTTCACGCTGCATTGAAATTTATGTTTCATCTTTTATATTGTCTATTATAAGAGATATTGTTCGCCAGCTTAGTTCATTTTCGTCTTTTCACAAAACTCGAAGAATAGAAATGTTGTCTTTTTTATTATTTTTCGCTTTATCAAGAAAATTTCGAGATAGTTTTTTTCCAGGAAGTGTTTTTTTTTGTCACGATGAATAATCGCTCTGAAAGAATTTGTCATTAATCTTTTGTATTATACAGTGTGGTATAATTTTTTAAACCAGCCTTTATAGATCATGTGCCGTTAACTATCTACCATATTGATTAGGGCGCACCAAAAAAATAAATGTATTTTTTCTTTTTTTCCATAACAACTGTTAAAATTGCCTTATATCTATCAAAAATAGTAGATAAAATAGTACTTTAACCGCAATATATTTTTTTCTCACACCTTTTTAAGTTGCTTTCATTTTTGAAAATGTTTGTATTCCTTTTCATAAGTTATTCGGAATTTAAATGGAAGAAGTTTGGATATGGCGTTTGTCGCCTCAGCCTGAATATCTGTTGGCAATTTACTTATTTCGTTTAGAGCCATTTCTGGATCCAATTCAATCAGCAATCGACACGAAACAGAATTAAAAAATATTGACTCAAAACTGACAACTAAAGAGACATCTTTATTTATTTGTCAAATTACATAGAAACCAACGCCAACCCAGCACAATATTTTTTCTACTCGTAATAAATTCCTTGAAATAATAATTTCTGAATATTTTTTAAAACGTAACTCGCTATGGAAAAAATATTGTTTTATACACGACGATAAAATACCATTTTATCGTCTTGTATAAAAAATAACTATTAGTTACCTAGATAATATTGTTCAGGATGATGAAAAAAAGATTCTGATAAAGTTTGAGCCCTTAATATTAATATTATTAATGATAATTTATCAATCTAATAAACAGCAAACTGATCTCAATACTTTTCCAGCACATCTTTGATATAATCTTAACAAGTCCTAATAAAAAAAGAGTTATTAATCTTCTTGCACTAAATTGAAAATATTAATCTTGACGTTACAACAGACTCGAGAAAGTAGATGAAATGATATTGGAAATGTATAAATTACTTACTGCAAATTGAAATATTGACAGTCTGGTATTTATATTGAGAAGTTCTTTTATAATAAAAATCTATCTATTTTCCAAATCAATTTCATTTTGTATTCAATTTTTAAATTGCAAAATCACCTCAGAAAATAATTTAGAAATAGCTATACGGCTACCAAATAATTTATATATTAATATATTATTATATTATTTAAAAATATTCCATAAATTTCGGCAGCATATTCTGCAGATAAAAATGAGTAAAAAAGTTCGTATAAATGTATATCCTAAAACGCTTAATTTCGGCGATAGAGGGTGTAGATGTTTCATTTTTATTTCGATATTTTCCAAATAGTTTCTGAAGTAACGTCACTATTTGGATGAAAATTTGTATCTGGGAGTTTTTTGAGATAAGAAATTTTATTTTAATGACGATATGACTCCTACTTGTAGAGGACGCCATCCACATATTTTTAACTGGTTTGAAGACTAATGACTTTTCGTCCGGACCGGTATAAAACTACTAAATAAAAAATATACATTTACGACGTTTTTTACGTAAAAAATGTCTCGGTGAAAATCGCTACGAGTAATGGTTCTCGAGATATTTGGAATGTAAATTATCAATACCTGTCATCATTGACATAAATTAAACATGTTGACTAAATAGTTATTAGACTAAAATCATAAAATTCAAATGTTTTTGTACCAAAAGTTTAACAGAAAATGTTTTATCGTCATTTTTTCAAAGATAAATTTTTGATTAATTTAAAAAAAATACAAGTTTTTAAAAAACAAATCCTCTGTTGACAGGTTTCTTTTATCATCGCTTTGTGTACGCTTTTTTGCCATTCCAGTCTCGGTCTTCCCTGTTTTCTTCTGCCCTTTGGTTGTCAATTGATTATTTTCTTGGGCCATCTTGTATTCTTCATTCGGTCTAAATATCCGTACCAGATCAGCTGCTTTCTCTATACATCCTGCCATTATCGTGCCATCTATACCCATTTGTTGTTTTATGGTATTATTTCTTATTCGTTGTTGTCTGGAATATACCATTGATCTTCGAATGGCATCCATTTCTACGGCCTCTATCCCCTTCTTGTATTTCTCAGTTATTCTCAATGTTTCTGCTCCATATAGAAGGCTGTTCTTTATCATGGTCTCGTGTATATTGAATTTTCTTCGCTTTGTTATTGATTTGCTCCATATGATTCCATTTAGACATCCGATTATTTTTTTCACATTGGTAATCTTTTTCTCTATTTCTCTGCCATCAGTTCCAGTATTATCAAATGTAATTCCCAGGTATTCATACTCTTGACACTGAATAGTTTCCTGACCGTTGTTCAATTTCAAATTTCCTTCTTGTGCGCCTATACATAGATATTTTGTTTTGTCTATGTTAACTGTGAAGCCCCATTCTCCGTATTCTTCAATAAGTTGTCTTAGCATACATCGCATATCATCCTTGTGATTGGCGACTATTATTTGATCGTCTGCGAATTGAAGTGTGAACAAACATTCATTGTCAATCTCTATGCCCATACCACGGATCTTCCTTTTCCAATTTTTTAAAGCGACTGCAACGTATATTTTAAAGAGGGAGATGCAACAACCTTGACGTTCGAACAACAAAGAAACTTTTCCAAAAACTTTGCATCTAAATTATTCACACCCAAGAAGAATGCGCACACACCCTGAGGATGTCCGGCCAGGGAAAACAATTGACTCCTCTCGTCCCGTCTGTCATCAAAGCAGGCCAAACAACAAAGTTGCCTACGTTTCCCAGCTCACGCGTTACGTTTTCGTTTAGCCTGCGGTTCTGCTAAACTCGTTTCGGCCCTTAAATCGGGGAGACGTAAGGGTCAAAATGGGTGGTGGGTGACTGGATGGCAGGATACAGCAGAAAGAGGAATGGTGGGATG